CCCCTAGAGAGGTAGCTCAGGTTGGGATTTTCATAGAAAATCACAATTCTAAAGAATAGTGATTGTTCTTAATTGAAAAGTCCCAACCTTCGGATAGGCCCGGGCAGCGCTTGTCGAACAGCTCTGCGGATCCGAAGGTTGGGACTTTAATTGTGAAAAAACCGCCCGACCGCCGCAAAAACGCAAACACCGCAAAACGCGCAAAACGCACGCCCAAAACGCCAACGCAAATGCCGCAAAAAAAAACACGCCACGCCAAACACGCACGCAAAAAACGCCCGTCCGCCGCAAAACACAACACCGCAAAAAAAAAACGCAAACACCGCCGCCGACAAAAAAAACAAAAAACGCCCGCTGCCAACCGCAAAACGCCGCAAAAAAACGGCCGCCCCGCCGCTAACCGCAAAAACGCCGCAAAAAACGGCCGTCCGCCGCTAAACCGCAAAACGCCGAAAAAAAAAACGGCCGCCCACCGGCAACCGCAAAACCTGCAAAAAAAACGGGCCGCCCGCCGGCAACCGCATACCGCAAAACGCCGCCCGCCTCAAACTGCCGCAAAAAAAAACGGCCGCCCGCCGCGAACCGCCGCCCGCCGCCAAACACAAACAACGCAAAAAAACGCAAATACCGTCGCAAAAAACGCCCGCCCACCGGCACCGCAAAACGCTGCAAAAAACGGCCGCCCGCCGCAAACCGCAAACACCGCAAAAAACGGCCGCCCGCCGCAACCGCAAACCGCAAAACGCCGCCCGCCTCAAACTGCCGCCGCCGCCAAACACAAAAACGCAAAAAAACGCAAATACCGTCGCAAAAAACTAACGCCCGCCGCCGCAACCGCAAAACGCCGCAAAAACGGCCGCCCCGCGAAGCAAACACCACAAAAAAACGGAAAGTCCCGCCCGCCACCAACGCAACCCCGCCGCAAAAAACACACGCCGTCCGCAAAACGCAAACACTGACCTATAAGACAAATATGGCGCCGTGCGGCCAAGTGTGGTGCATTTATTTCTGCCCGTTTAAGCAGCCACCCTCAATCAAAGCGCATCCTCGGATTTTCCACGAAGTTCCTCATCAAACACGTTTCCACGTGGCACGTGCTTTTCAATCGCCCCATATCTGACCCTACCATGTGGTAGCCGTATAAAAAATTCTTATTGTATTGCCCGCAACGGTCTGTCCCGTCTGTCCTGGCACGTGGCAATAATTTTGGAGATAGGTCTATCCTGTATGCTATTTGCGTGTAGTAATGAATACAACAACACTAAGAATAGCTTGAGATAGCGGGAGACGTTTAGTGGATGGTTGCGTGCGAAAGTTATTTTTAACAACAGTAGCTGCTAGAAAACGTGCTGGGTATCAAAACAATTATCAAGCGTCAAAATCTCATTATAAAGCGCATACAAGTCGTACATTTATGATCGTATGAGACGTTCTGCATTGATCTTATAACCACTTTTCAAAACAGACAAATAGAAACTAAAAAAATAATTATGCAGCGAACTGCTATGTGAACTTCATTCGAAGTCAGGCAACCATCTCTCCGGGGCGCCACGAGAGGCATCCCACAGTGTGGCATATCGGCAAACACAGATCTGCTGTAGCAGGTGAATATTATTTACCCTGCCAAGGCATTGGCAGCAATAGCCGATATTCCCACTGTCCGCCCCATAAATTTTGCCTGTGGCAATGCAAGCCACCCATTCATTATGAATGGTTTACCTTATTGTTCAACATCAAACTAATAATGGGTCAGCTACTCAGGACGAGTCAGCACCACCTAGCCTTACGTAACATACATTGCTTTTTTGCGAATAGTTGATGAATGCGTCTAAGCTTCAATTTAAAATCGGACGTCATTTACCTCAAGAAAAACTTTTAAAAGAATATTACTCAATTAGAGTGACTACTTCAAATTTGGCGAAAAGTTTGCTGAATGGATATCAATGAGATAGGTCATTAGAACGCTTCTTGAAGTTTCAGATTTAGACGTTGCAGCACTAAAAACGGTTATATCGGGGATCAGAACCCAAACGGAGCTAGGAATCTGATGCAACTCGCTTTTGTACCTTTCTTGACGTAATTACACTTAGTTTGCACAATACGTTCGTGGAACTGGTTAAGATAGACTTATTATATACTGACACGTTTATCGGGGATCAAAAGCGAACGTAGATAACAGCCTGATGCAGCTGGTCATTGTACGTGTCTTGACGCAATTAGGATTAGCTTTCAAAAGAAATGGAACTGGTTCAATGTACATTTTTGCCCAAAGTACAAGATATTGACGTCCCAAAACCTGCCATAACCAACAAATTTAACTAAAGAAGAAATGAGGTACATGCATTCTCAAAAAGACCATGCGAGCACACATGCAGTACATGGAAACACGAATGCATTAAAAAAAAAAATTCTATTTAAAGGGACTATCCCACCTTCAAAAAGTCCCGTTTAGGATTCGGAAAGTTCTAGATATTTGTGACGAATTCTGCAAGTTTTTACGCGTTTTCATCGTATACTTTTGAGATATTGCGACTTTATATTTCATCGTGACGTCATTTAGATCGGATCGTGACTAATGAAGGATTTACTTCATGTCAGTGTGGGGGAATTTGGCAGCAAATATATATTTGCCTCAAATATGACTCGGCTCATACAATATCAAAAGTGTCTCTGATTGGCTTATTCGTAAATCAAGTGATACTTCACTTGACCAGGCGTTCAAAAGGCAAATGGCGTCATCAGATACCGTTAATGGTTAAGAGACTGGGCCTTGCGCAGGGCTCATTTTCAAATGAAGGGAACGAATTTCTTTCAACACACCCGACTAGGCCGCGGCGGTTGCAAACCAAGATAGATAGTGGTTTCTGGGCCTCGCCGCAAACTTGGCTATCTCAACTCAAACTAATGTAAATGTGAGATAGTCCCTTTAAGGTGGCATGCAAGCACACATGCAAGACATGGAAGCACGTAGTTTTTTTTTTGAGGGTGGCATGCAAGCACGGAAAGTTTTGTTTTTGGAAAATGGCATGTGACTCAGGGCTGCGGAGTCGATGGATTTTCGGCGACTCTGACTCCGACTCCGACTTCAAAAACCAAATCCGACCCCGACTCCGACTCCGCGCAGAACTGTCGACTCCGACCGACTCCAACTCCCGACTCCGACTCCGCAGCACTGCCAGGACTGCGGAGTCGATTGATTTTCGGTGACTCCAACTCCGACTCCAGATCCGGTTTCCAAAATCGACTCCGACTCCGACTCGACTCCAGGCAGATCTGTCGACTCGACCGACTCCGACTCCGCAGCCCTGATGGACTCAGGGCTGCGGAGTCGATGGATTTTCGGCGACTCTGACTCCGACTTTCAAAAACAACTCCGACCCCGACTCCGACTCCGCGCAGAACTGTCGACTCCGACCAACTCCAGCTCCCGACTCCGACTCCGCAGCGCTGCCAGGACTGCGGAGTCGATTGATTTTCGGTGACTCCAACTCCGAACTCTGATCCGGTTTCCAAAATCGACTCCGACTCGACTCCGGGCAGATCTGTCGACTCCGACCGACTCCGACTCCGCAGCCCTGAATTGTGACTCAGGGCTGCGGAGTCGATGGATTTTCGGCGACTCTCACTCCGACTCCGACTTTCAAAAACACACTCCGACCCCGACTCCGACTCCGCGCAGAAGTGTCAACTCCGACCGACTCCAACTCCCGACTCCGACGCCGCAGCACTGCCAGGACAGCGGAGTCGATTGATTTTCGGTGACTCAAACTCCGACTCCAGATCCGGTTTCCAAAATCGACTCCGACTCCGACTCCGCAGCCCTGCGAAGCACACATGCAATCGTACACGCAAGCACATATACATTTTTAAAAAATGAATTTAAGGTGGCATGCAAGCACACATGCAAGACACGCAAGCACGGAAAGTTCTTTTTTTTGTTTTTTTTTTTAATGGAAAATGACATGCAAGCACAAATGCAGTCTCTGAGTGTTGGAATTGGAATAGATTGCTTAATGTCGTTTCGTTTTTAGCCTACCTAAGGTTCAGTAAACCCCTCATTTAATTACGGCGACGGGGTGAGGGATAGCAGTCTCTAGGCAGAACTTACGTCACCTTCCCACTATCCGTATACCTACTTCATTCGATCTAACCTAATTTACCTAAGGGCCTCGCCTGCAATCTCCGGCGAACCGGAGAGCTGTGACTAGCCGTGACGATTCAAAGATCTAATATTCATCCCACGCCTGGGCAAGGTTCCGTAAGTTCATACCTTGGAGACTGCTATGGGAGAAGAACAATGAGCGGGGACAGTGCAGCCTCGAGATTTTTCACCTATGTACTTATTTTCAGGCTCTTTACATCCTCCTACCTAGGTATAATAGAATGAACGCCTAGCGACCTAGTACCACTTTTTTGACAGCTTCCTACCAGTGACGCGTATTGACCAGCTGGTGCATACACCATGAGCGTTATTAATGGCACCGGACCAGCGTAAAATGTGCAGTTGTGCACTGCTGATGGGTGTGTTAAGGAAAGAAACTCCGGAAGCTCCTACGGTAGAAAGGGCTAAGGGCAGAAAGAAAGAAATACCGGTTGGCCTAGGCCTCCCAGACCCCGAATTCAACACCGACCTGTGTGATATTCTGCTTCCAAACACGTAACGTAACCACCTTGTGGAGCCCATTGACACGCGCGTGACATAGTGTCGGTCGTATTCTATCCGATGAAAAGATAGCATTACTGTGCAGGCCTACCAGTTTTGCGACCCCGCTTGGCGGGTCGTCCGCGACTAACTGAAGTGGACGCTGGCCTTTTAGCCCCGGTTGAAGACCGCTTACGCTTGGGAACACTCATCTCTAGCTGTCTGTGTTTGGACTGAGTCAAATAGATGGGCCTGGCGAGTATCAGGCTTTCTTCTGTAGCTAACATTTTGTTTATAACCGCTACGACTTCCACCATTTCTACATGTCTGCCGGAAGCAGCGAGACATTGCAAAACAATTTCACCTACGTCCTGAACATGATGCTGTCTCCACGCCCTGTGTACGTAATCTGCAATCAAATTTTGCTCCCGTGACCATTCAGCTCCGCCCTCTATCTCTACGTAAAGACGCCACGTTTTGGCGGCATTAATGCGCATTTGGCGCTCAAAAATTTCTGCTTCAATGACGTCATCATTAAGGCGCTGAACATTTATTTCCTGCGCGGTAGGCCATTCTGTCTCAGGAATGTACATGTGCTTTGGATGTTTAACGCGCGAAACTACGACAGTCCAAAAGCCCGGATTGCCCACCCATTCCTTTACTTTAACTTCTACCCGAGACAAAGTGGCACCCTGGCCTTTAAAGCCGGTAAACGCGCTGCCCCCCTCGAGCGGAAAACCTACGCGAAATTCAGAACAGTTATCTTCAGAAACAGCGCTGCCCTTTTTGCGAGATGCACGGCCGCGTTTCACTGCACGGATGGGAACAAGATCATCTGCGTCTTTTATGCCTAGAACGTTTTGACCACCGTTGGCGGTATAGCCAGGAACACGAACGACAATAAACTCGGGCAAATGAGGCGCACACTTTGGTGTGCGCAAAACTAGCTTAACAGGGTCCGCGGTGGCCACTAGTTCATCCAGACAGTTACCCTCTAAATCATTGCCATTTACTTTAACGATGACGCTTCCCACCGGCACCTGATAAACGTTTTCCCTATCTGAATGGGGCGTGTCGATAGGCTCCACAAGTGTCACACCTTCAACACGTACTTTTTCCGCAAAGTCGCGACGGCTAATAGTCACGAGCAAATCATCTTCTAGATATAGGGGACCCACAAACTCTACCTGAGACCCGTTAAATAGCCCGAAGCTGGGTGCTACATTTTCTAGCAGCATCAGCGGCAGACCCCTACACGCAAAGAGAACCGAAGGCACCGCGCGAAACTCTTTTGCCGATAATTTTTGTAATTTCTGAGCCTTCCTGGCTGGCATGTGCTGTGAATTTACGGCCATGACGTGAGCGCTCCTATCTGCAGCAAAATTAACCAGAGCACGAGCATTATCAGATTCTACTGTTGAACGGTTTGCAGCCCACTCACTAAACCAGTGATACCCATGTAACGTTATAGCACATTTCCACGCAGGATCGGCAGACAAATCCTCAGTTGTGGCACAGTTTTCCTTGAGCCACTGAATTTTCTCCGGGGTGGCCTTACCGTATCTCATGGACGGAAGAATCTCCTTAGTAAATTTTGCGGCTACCTCGTCATTTTCAACAGTACGACGCACCTCATTTAAATAAACAGTTTCATAGTCGCCGTCGTACGCGGCGGCGCGAAAACGAGCTACTTCCGCACGTACGCGGTCACTAAGATCAGCGCGGTTTACACCTAGCGTTTTTCTCCACGTTTCATACCCTGGCAAAGTGTCAAGCGCCGGCATTCTGAAAAGTTCACGGAAAGATGCCATACCCAAAATAGAGGCCTCACAGCATGCATTACCGTCGTCCGAGCGCTGACGCAAGCTCCAAATAGGAACATCCCCGATTGGAAAAATTTGCGCTGGATCACCGACAAACAGGACACCTATGTGATCCATGTTAACACCTGCCTGACCGAGACGCTGCATTACCCAACGTATCATGCGACGCTGAATCATTGAAAATTCGTCAAAAATTATCAAACCTAGCTCAGTACTAAGGCTATCACAAAGCTGCAAAAAGCGACGGCTATCCTCGGCCAGCGGCTCGTCCCCTGTTTGGCCCACGCTGATGGCGTATAAGCGGTGAATGGTAGTGGCGCCATGCGCCATGTGAAAAGACGCACATCCTGTCGGCGCCGACAATTTAACTACATCCGTCCACTTGGCAAAATCATCACCTAACATTTCACTGAGCTGATGCACGGCCGAACGCAAAGTAAAAGATTTGCCGGCACCGGGATCTCCTAGCAAGAACGCGCGCAGTGCCTTCGGCGGCGTTTGCCGCAAGTCTACAATATCCGGTCTGACGGGTGGGACCTGACGCGATGAGCCCGCCAGACGCCACTGCTTAACCTGCCTATCGTATGTATCCCACTGGCGACGCGAGCAAGCAAATTCCCTCTGTTGCGTTAAATAGCGCTTTAAAACCGCCGACAGCACGCGCTGACGCCCTGAGAGGGCAGCCAGCGGTGCGTGTGCGACGTCTCCTGTACCGCTAGCGACTAGCCTACGATAATTGCGACGCACTAGGTCGGGATTAACTGGCCTGTCTCCTAGCCAGTCTGCCTGAAAATCAAAACCAGCCGGATTGGCAATGCCGGCCGCGGCCACCCCTGGTACGCAATTTGCTTCCCCATCATCCGCCGACCTATCATCCCCCCGATTACCTAGCATGGCGTCTAGAGCCGTCTGATAAAAACGATCGGGCAAACGCGTCGCATTCGCCTCCGGCTCCACTGGTTCATTTTGTTCTAAAACAACTTCATCTTCGGGATCCGGGTCGTCGCTATCCGACGACTCGGACGCACTCGAATCGTCGTTGGCGTCAGACGGGTGAAAGTGATTATAATACCGCCGCACAAAAGCCGGAACGTCTAAGCCTGTTGACAGCAGACGATGGTACCTACAGATCCAATGGATGCACACCTCAGCCGGTGAAGCCTGCTGAGACGGCATCAGGTCCTCTGCGAGCAAGCAGGGTTCACACCAAAGAACAATATCGCGGGCGTATTTCCAGAAGCCCTGCCTGGACGGATTGGCGCTACTTTTACCGTAGTGTGGCGTCAGACGGACGCACACACGTGACCCGCAAACCTGGTGACGCCGACGGCCAATTGTCATTACCTTTTGATCACCTATCTTTTTCTCAGAGACTACAAAAGTATCAAAAAATTGACGCACCGACATAACGCGCTGAAACTCGTCGGCAGCTATGCCGCCATGATGCACATTATCATTTAGACGCGCGTTGAAATGCTCCAGACGGCTAGCAAACACATACTCTCCGGCATCTTCCGCAGAAATTGGCCGCAGAAGGCGAGTACCACTAAAGCCGAAACCGCGCGCGCGAATATTCCTATACAGCAGAGGCAGCTGCCAATTTTTGTGCATTGCCTGAAAGATTGATTGACACCTAGCCGACGAAACTGCATTATACATTCTCATAACAACGCCAGCGTCTATATTTGCGGTGGCGCCGCGCGTCTCCAGAGCCGTAAGAAGAACATCGGCCGGAGTTCGCACGGGAGCAACTGGCTTAAAGCCGTACTTTAGCGCGTATTCTACGTTAGCATCACCTGACCCAATTGCCAACTGCATTGTGAAAGAAAAGGCTACACCATCGTCTGTAGTTACGCTTTCCCAAACGACAGACGGCGGCCGCGCCAGCCACGCCGGCACGACCGCCTTATCGTCTACGTTATTCAAAATGTGCAAGACGGCGAATGGATCATGCCCTCCCATCCACACGTCATTGCACGCCGTTTCACACTGTTTTATACGCCTATCGTGAGAGTCTGACGCAACGACCGATTCAGTCCGGAGACGACGAGGCATCCGCCTTTTGCACCGAACAACCTCTTTCTTCACTGGTGCCGCGTTAGGATTTACTCTACGTGCTTCCGCGGTGGCTGCCTTGTCGACTTTCAGACGTTTAACTGCACATCCGTCTTTCAGCGACGGTGCTGTACCCCTACCGCTGTGACCCGTGTGGCGAAGTGTGCCGTTAATTACGCTCACATACAGCTGGTCAATATAAGCAAAGTCACCGGAGGACATGGCCCTATCGAGCTCGGCGGCCATTCGCGCGCGACAAACGGTTGTTTTCCTATCGTAGGCAAATTCAAATGTACGCCGACCACCCTTAGTAAAGCCCGCGTTCCAATTTGTGTACATGTTCTCAATGCGCCTAATGTAGGACTGCTGACAAGACTGCCACGCCGCGCGCACCTGTGTCTCGACCGCGCTGCGGGACGTGTCCCGTGCCAGCGTTGGGTCCTCGTTGCGCGCCGCGCGGTCAATCCTTTCAGCCTCAATGCGAAGCTGAACCTGAAGACGATGCAAGAAAGTAGAAAACGATTCACTAATTATATTACGGTGAATGTGAGGATTGGCGTTCGCGCCCCACTCCGCACGCACAATATGGTACGTGGCGGAGTAACGCACGCGCGCCAACGCAAGGGTGTCCATTTCCCCAATGAACGCTGTGACCCACGAAACGATGCCCGGATGCTTAAGGGTGTTGGCAAATCGAGCGTGTAAATACTGCTCGTCACTAAGTGTTTCGCTGGCGGCTGCGCCGTCAGA